TATAAGCTCTGCTGCGGTGGACACTGACCAATGCGGTACCCAGACGACAAGTCCACTCCAGCACATGTGCACATGTGCATGAACATGTACAATGTACATGTACATACAGTACATGTCACGCGTACACATGTAAACACGGATACACGACTGCACTTGACCTGTGACTCGCCGCAAAAAGAACGTTATCCAAAAGTTTGCCTTTACAAAAGTATGGTGCAAGGGTATCCTCTTTTTTTGGTCAAAAGTTTGACAGTGCAATAAGTCCAAACTTTAAGAAGTAAGTGTTATTAGAACATAAATTTTTTTTTTAGATGAGATACATGTATATGTATATGACATATTTTTCCATTACAAAATGTCTGGATTCACACGATTTTGCGCGAAAATTTGGTTCAAAATTAAAATCATTTTACAAAACTTTTTATTCGGCGGATTCCCAGTTTTTGAGTGCAATCAATTCAGACAGTCTGCTAGTTTATATGAATCTAGTTCTTATAACAAGGAAGTCTCATTTTATTTAAAAACCACATTTTTCATTAATGAAAACTTTTTATTCAAATTTCATTTGAGACAGGGCACAAAATTCAGTGCTCCTGAAAAATAAAACAAATAATGGAACTTGGTTTGTTATGAAAAATCCATTCATAAAGATAATGCTTCGTTTTGCAATCAGAGTGCACAGACATGTCCTGTATTTATGTCTTTGTTAAGTGCAAATCTTGCGTACATGCACTTTGGTAATGAGCGCCGTGAACATAAATGCTGGGGCGCGGATGTGCATTTATATAGCAGGGGAATTGGCTCTTGAGAGCAGACTAGTCTTTGTGCCTCGTGGAAACTTCCCTTCGTAAAAAAAAACAGTTCTCCAGAGTCACGATTATAGCCTTTATTCAAGTAGGATTTCCCCAGCCTGTAGTGTAAAATATTGCGCTTCGGAGAATATACTGCAGCCTATGGACGCAATCAGTGTTTGAAACTTATGCAGTCTAATTATTGTCATTTTGAATGTAAGTAAGTAAGGGAAATAAAACGTAAAAGCAGTTCTTCATTTATAAAAATGTATCTTTCATTTCCCATAAAACGATGCACTATTTCAAAATTGAAATATAGGCCGTGGTCTCAGTAGGAATTATCAAATAACAATTCGTCAAAGTGCCAACAGTGCCGTCCTCTGTTTATTTTGACAGGCTGATCATCTTACAGAGGAGCAAATTGCTGGTAAGTTGAACCGAGTAAAAGATAATTGTCATCACAAAAACTGTACCTTAATTTAAGAAACACGCGAGACAGTAACCTGTTCACCGGAAATTACGAGACGTATTTTGAAAATCTTAGTGCATGATTCGCTATATGGTTCTAAATAAGGTTTTTTTTTTTTTTAAAGACATAACTGCGACGAATGATTGAGAATATGGCCTAAACAGTAATTACCTTCACAAATTTGTAAGGAATTATTCTCTTCATAAATCAGTACAATTCACGTATCTCCATGTTTTAATTTATTTACAATTTCACTGAGTATAACATTTATATACTCGGCGTAGTGCTTCCAAACATTTGTTTTCACACTTCATAAGAAACAACATTTTACTTTTTGATAAAAACAGTATACATTTACAATGCATGCAGTTCCTGAAAATTTCCATAGAGACGCTTCATTCACATTCCAGAATTCAAGGAGGCGTTTTCGCTGTTTGACAAGGATGGTGACGGTACCATCACCACTAAGGAGTTGGGAACAGTCATGAGGTCGCTTGGTCAGAACCCCACTGAGGCTGAGCTGCAGGACATGATCAACGAGGTTGATGCCGATGGTAAAACAAAGTCATACACACTGGCATTGTTAAAATTACTCGCTGACTCTGAATCATTCAATGGTCGGTCCAGAACCAGTTTTTGTGGATGTGGACAACATGTATTGGGGGAGGCAAACTGAAATTGAGACGTGAGTCTTAAATCAAGGGCTTGTAACACGTTTTTAGGGGGGAAAAGAAGTGAAGTGCCCTCCAAATAAGTTTTTTTCTTTCAGGAGGAGGGGGCGTAGCCCCTGTTGCCCCCCGGGGGAATCCACCAGTGAAACCATGCATGCATCATTGTACACATCTCACTTTATTGACACGAACGCAATTACAGAAACTGCTTTTGCTTTGGACGTATCAGTTACATGACGACAACCTTGTGAAACTATGCTTTAGAAATTTTCTTGATCTCTTGATATTGAACCACGGAAGTAGTTTTCATTTTTAAAATATTATACTTTGCTAAAGTCTGATCTGATATCTCGCTTTTTCAGCGAATTATGGATGTTTTCCACTTCCATAATCGTTTATAAGAACCCTTTATATTTAAGACTTAAAGGTTTTCATGGTAAAAGAAACTAGATTTATAGGAAAGATTGCGGTAACACCATGTATTTATCTCTTCTTTGAGTATGTGTGGTTCTGAGGTTCTGTTCCCGCCTTAATGCCTCACCGAGCTAATCCCTACATCTGGATCCCTCTCCACACCATATAAGCTCCAC